AGAAGAGAGAGAGGAGACTTCATTGAAACCAATAAAACCTTCAAGATCATCCATGGCAACTATGATGAAGCCCTAAAAGTTACCTTCGCTATACGAAATAGGAACATAACAAGGGAACACTGTTAAAAATTAGGTCTTCTTCAAAGAAGACACTTTCTCACAAACCGTCTTGTTAACACGTGGAACAGCCTCCCAGAAAGTCTAGTGAGCGCAGAAAACAAAAACATATTTAAAAACAGACTTGACAAGCACAATGAAGTGAGAAGCAACTTTGTGACCTCTACATGTAGATTGGCGAAAAGAGCACACAGTAGACTCATCGGTAAAAACTATTTTCCTACTGTGAAGTAAAATGTAAAAAATATAATCTTGAACAAAACAATAAAACCATCACCGAAGGTGGAAAAAGTTTTCGAAATATTTGAAAGTGATGATTAAAAATATCGAAGGCAAATGGCAAGGATAACGACCGGCATGCAGCACTTCTACAACAACGAGAAGAAAGGAAATCAGAAGAGAAACATGAAGGGAAATATCGAAGACCGAAAGAAAGGCAGTTAGTGGACAATAAGATCAGGACCAGCTTTTAAATTTTGAGAATGGCTTCAAATCTTTGAGCAACAAATTAGGAGCAAGAAAATTTTGGAAGGGCTGAGTAAATTCAAAAATACAATGGCAAAACTAGTTGAAAAAGTTGGATTGAATAGAAGCACCAGCAGGAATGCGACCGAAAATTTCATCAAATGGAATTGAAGATATGCATGTAGAGAGAGTACTGCTCATAACGAAACCATCAAATAGCATTGAAGCTCTAATCAAAACAAATATCAGAGCTGAATTAAGAAGAAAAATAACCAATTGGATAATTTGTAGACACAATGAAGCAAATTCTAGAATAACTACGAAAGCTTGTTGCTAGTAAAGTACGATTGAGACCTCGCTCCCCTTCTGGTGAATCTCAGCCTTTGAAGGAATACTTGAAAGGAATGGAATGTTACGCTGCTGGAGAAGATGACATTTTAAATGTGATTGCAGAGTTAGTGCGTCTGAGATCTCGCTGTCCTCGTGACTTAGCCTCATCAAACATCGTACATAACACTGGTGGATCGAGGAAGGCCTTTAACGTGGCTAAAAGAACCCAAAACTGGGAAGTATACAAAGAACATCTGAGAACTTTCAAAAAGAAACTCAGAGAAAAGAAAAGGGCAGCTTATAGAGGGACTTTTGCACCAAGGTCACCACCACCTCTACCGCCTCTAGGCTAAAAAAAGTTCTATCAAAAGACCCTATAATGCAACCAGGTACCCTTAGGAGAAGTGATGGCACATACACCGTTACCTCCGAAGACACTGCTAAAGTACTACTAGAAACTCACTTTCCAGAATGCAAAATCATGGACACCGCCGAAAAACCAGCATAGCCGGGCGAACACGGACAACTGAACCCCCGAACAGCGGGGAAAGTCATAAACGCGGTGGTTTCAATTGATAAAATCACTTGGGCAATACGAACCTACAAACCATTTAAGTTCGCAGGAATTGACGGCGTCATCCCTGCAATGCTTCATTCAGTGGGGTCTGGAGGCAATTCTATCACACCTTGAGGTACTATTCAAGGCCTGTCTTACCCTAAGCTATATATCCATGAACTGGAGAGAAGTTAAAGTCACTTTCATTCCTAAACCTGGGAAGGATGACTATTCTCATCCAAAACTTTACAGACCAATCAGTCTAACCTCATTCTATGAAAACTCTCGAGAGGCTATGTGATAGATACATTAGAGATGTGCACTTGCCATTGCAAGCAGAGATGTGCACTTGACATTGCAAGCGATACACCCTAATCACACGCCTATCAACCAGGAAAACATACGGAGACTGCACTGCATTGTGTTGTGCAAAGAATAGGAAAGTCACTTTTTTATCGGCAGTCAGCCCTAGGAACTTTCCTTGATATCAAAGGCGCTTTTGACAAAGCAACTTTAAACAGTGTAGAAACTGCTCTGATAAGACACAACGTTGACCCAACCATCATCGGCTGGATAGGTTCTATGTTGAAAAACAGAGCAGTTCAACTTAATGCGTAAGAGCGCTTGTCAGCAGAGGCTGCCCCCAAGTCTTGTCGCCACTACTTTGGAGCGTGGTAGTTGAGAGCCTCATTAAAACCCTCAATAATCATGGCTTCCATTCGACCGCGTATGCAGACGATATTATAATTTTGCTTGCCGGAAAATTTGAAAACGTCCTGTGCAAAACCATGCAGACCGCTCTAAAACTAGTAGAAAGATGGTGCGCAGAAAAGTCACTGTCTGTAAACCCAGCAAAAACCGGGCTACTGCTCTTCACCAAAAAGAGGAAGCTGGTCAATTTTAGACCTCCCTCTTTGTGCGGCGTGTAACTCGGCCTTTCAAAAGAGGTCAAATATCTTGGAATCATTCTGGATAGTGCCCTCAACTGGAACAAGCACCTAGATGAAAAGACCAAAAAGGTAACCAAGGCGTTGTGGCAGTGTAGAGGAGCCATAGGCAAAACTTGGGGATTATCTCCCAGGATTGTTCTGTGGCTTTTCACCGCCGTTATCCGACCTATGTTCACCTATGGAGCAATTGTATGGTGGACCAAAACCAAGCAAATAGTAGCTAGGAACAGAATGCAACAGCTACAAAGGTTAGCATGCCTGGCAATCACAGGGGCAATGAGAACCACACCAACAATGTCCTTGCAAGTGCTGCTGAGACTGTCGCCTCTTGATGCATATCTTGAAGGCGAGGCAGAGAGAACAGCAACCCGACTGCATTCCATTGGATTTTCGTGTGGAGGAAGCGGGGGTTCAGAGCATGCCCGGGTGTTTCCGGAGGCTGTCGAACGACAACCACTGCTGGAACACCGGACGGATACAATGATTCCATGCTTCATCTTCAACAAGGCCTTTAAGGTAGAACTAAGCGGCCTAACACAACCAGGCATAAGAGCAGATATACATATTTACACGGATGGCTCAAAAAACCAGTCAGGAACTGGGCTAGGCGTGTGGATACCTGAGCTCGACCTAGAAATAAGTATAGCTTTAGGCACCTATGTATCAGTTTTTCAGGCAGAGCTGCTTGGAATAATGCAGGGAGCTGTACAAATACGGGAAAGGAGGGTGAGGAGAACAACCATCACCTTTCTGACAAATAGCAAACAAGTATCTAAATTAATCCTTGAGTGCCACGAGACACTAGAGGCGATTGCCCAAAAAAATATAGTCATGGTGTCGTGGATTAAAGGCCATAATGGCAATCAAGGGAACGAAAGAGCAGATATCCTAGCACGCACTGAAGCTAAAGGAAAACCTATCGGCCCCGAGCCTTTTGCGCCGTTGACTAGCAAAACTGTAAAACTAGAAGTCAAAGAACACTTAGACAGAATCCTTAGAGAGAGATGGGAGAGTCAGGACTTCAGACACTCGAGAGCCGCTATCGGTGGCCCTCGAGCTGGCCTGACAGATTACCTCCTTGAACTGTATAGGAACAACCTGAGGAAACTAATAGCAGTACTTACAGGCCACTGTAAGTTGAATAAGCACCTTGGGATTAATAAACGACCCAACATGCAGAGGGTGCAATGAAGACGACGAGACGGTAGAACACATGTTGTGCCACTGCCCAGTTCTCGTGAACACTAGAGAATCTATTATGGGGGACCAATTAGAGGGTACTCCGCCACCACATTATTGAACTATATCAATACTGTCGGCTGGCTTGACGAGTAAGGCTCTAACAGAGGATACAATGGGCCCACTAAAGAGGCCTTAGTATAGGGTGTTGCAAGTTACCCCTCCAAATCTCTATCTACATCTACATCTTCTGGCAGATCCTTACGACAATGCCAGTTCAACATCTTGGATTTGATTAATAAAAACCCCTTTTTGAACCAATAGATCGCTAACAAATTGGAGGAAAGAATAATCTGGCGAGCGACGATGGGAAAACTGGGAACAGGGGGCAGATTTTCAACCTTTAGTCGCAACCTATCGTCCCGACTATCCTACGAGTGAGTTGGGACGTTACATATCGACTAACGATTGAGAATCCCACTGCGGGAAAATTGGTATGATACAACTGCTAACAGACACCCTACAGTCCCTACGGAAAAGAAGTTCTATGGTAAATAAGACAAGGGAGGCAGTCTAAAGAAAGGGATAGCTCATGGGAAGTGGGGCTGGCGGTATTTGTATCGATATAATACTTTATTTGTCTTCTTGCAAACTAAACTCTGCTGAGAAGCGGGTTAAATCCATAATGAACATTAAACATGATATAAGAAACACTTTATTCGTTGTATATACAGAACGTACAAAACACATTTAAATTCAAATTCTACAGTAAAATATGAAACGAGCTAAAATTAAAATTCTATTCTAATTAAAAAAGTACTTAAACACTGGTCGGGGATTCTAAAATCACGATTCGACATACGACTCGACAGCGAGACGATTTTCCCGACGATTCTAGGTTAGAAATCTCATTGGAATTATACCTTTCGAGACGACAAGGCCGGTATCGTTGTCGAGTCGTGTGTCGAATCGTGATTTTAGAATCTCGGCCCTGATGCCAGATTTATTCTTCGAAATTCCTATCACACAATATTAAGCCACTGACACAAAAAACCTATCCATATTGAACAAAAAACAGCTACTAACATTGAGAAAAAAATATGTTATTTACAATAACCTATGTAATATTAATTCGTTGTTAAACTTAGTTAAGTAATATAGATATATACCTATTTGATTCATAACTACATCATCTACAATGACATGAATTTCATAACTTATGATTGAGCATATTATAATTTAGACTGTTATTTACCATGATATTTTACACAAAGATAAAATATTATAATCCTCCTAATTACTTCGCAACCATCCATACTTAGAGATTCTCAAGAACCTTTTGTATTCTTTACAACTGCATAATAATGAAATTATTCCATTTGAATAATTTCTTCATTAATATTTCACAAAGGGACCAGCCCATTTCTAGTAGTCGGATTGCGAGCCATATAAATTTCCATATCGTGATCCGTCCAATTATTATCCGAGTTTTCGCAATAGTTGTTCAGAGTGTGCGTGGAACCGGCGGTACTGTAGCGACTGCTGGGTCTATGATGATCGCGTGATCTGGACCTTGGCCTGGAACGTCTGGTAGAAGACGCTATTGAGTGCGCTGGTGGTGCGTGGTGAGGTGCTGGCATACGAGTGGACATACGTTCTGATTGCATTGCTAATGATTGACGTGATTGACGAAGATCTAGAAAAAAATTGTAATAATTAAGATGTAAATCATTTAGTTTGAAATTTACCTTGTCTCGAAGCTAACAAATTATTAGGAAAAGCATTAGCAGTCAAATATCGTCCGGAATGATTGGAAAAGCTGTTTTGCGATTGGCCGTCTGCTACAGATCTTGCTTTACTTGCCTTACTAAAATGATTTCTCAGCTCGTCTAAAGAGGGCGGTTGTTCTACAGTGTACATCCTTGGTCGTTGACTGTGCGCACTGTAAGCTGAAACTTGATCCCAATCCTGAAATGAATTATTGCAAAATCTTAGATATCATTAAATCCTCGGACATAAATTAATAAATATTAATTGTATTCGTGTTGCCCGAGATGCACGCATTGAGCGTAGCTACCGTTGGCAAGTAGGCGTAATGATTGCTCTGGTAATTATTTTCCGCTTGGTAAGTTTATAATCATTCGATTCCTGGTTTAAAGATTAAATGATTTATAAGAGAACTATAATGAAATGCAGGATTTATGTCAGGTTGTTGGGTGGGCAAGGTATCTTCGTAGGATTGATGGATGTGTAAGAGTTGTGTTAAGGATCATTACACACCGGGTATTTTTGTTGCTTAGTTGTTTTTTTGATATGTTTAAAATTCACCAGTAGCGCACCCAAGATATTTTCTAGAAAAGTACTCATAATGGTGAAATGAAATTTGCCTTGGCACCAGCTTCTGGATGCAATATTAATACATACTGTTATAAACCCGCCACTCGTACTTTTTGATTGCCCCCTGTAACTACAGTTAAAGAAGCCAGAAAATTTGACTATTTTCAAGATGAACTGAATCACGAAAATTCCTGCGTGTTAGAGAAGGACGCACATAACTATAAAAGCCCCGGTGCGCACCGCGTAAGTATCAGTTCTGATTGACGTACGACAAGTGCAGTAAACTGTAAAGTCAGGAAGTAAATAACCACGTTCGAAAATAATCGTGCCGTATAAGCTTTATTTGGAGTAGTTCGATAATAAAATTCGTTGAAGTTCGAAAAAGTAGTCTCACTTATCTGCGAGCCCGTAAAAGTGACAATTGGTGTCAGAAGTGAGATAAGTGATTGAAGAAATTTGCATTTATGATAAATACGAGAAAACAGACTGCCGAAATGAAAGAACAGCTAAACCAGGTACTCGCTTTGTTGACACTTGCGGACGAGAAAAGAGCAAAAGAAAAACAAGAATAATAGGACCGACTACAGAAAATCCTTCAAGAACAAGAGGACAAGCGACAACTAAAACAGGACCGACTACAGAAAATCCTTCAAGAACAAGAAGGCAGGCGACTTAAAGAATAACAGGAATAAGAGGACGAGCGACAGCAAGAGCAAGACCGGCTCTAGAAAATTCTGAAAGAACGGGAAGACAGACAACAGAGGGATATTGACAGGATCGCTGGGTTGTTCCAGAACATCCAACAAGAAGTCAAAGGCGAAATAGAAACGGTTCGAGAAGAAATGGGGACGATCCGAGAGGAATTCGAGAAAAAATATAGAAAACTGGAGAAGAAAATGGAGAAAATTCGCGAAAAACCCAATATCAACGAAAGTACCAGCAAAATGGATGTATCGGTGAGCCCAATCGTACGCGGCTAACTCAAACCACCAACTTTTGACGGCGAAACATCATGATCTATGTATAAACGATAGTTTGAGGCCGCTGCTAGTGCAAAAACCAACATCATTGGTACTTGCACTACGAGGAAAGGCGCTTGAAATTCTTCAAAATATTCCCGAGGCAAAACAAAGTGATTATGGAGCTGTTGTAGAAGCCTTAGAACTGAGGTACGGAAACAGGTGTCTCAGTCAAGTCTACCAGAGTCAACTCAAAAGCAGAATCCAAGGTCCATCTGAGATACTGCAGGAATTTAGTAGCGACATCGAGAGAATGGTGAGATTGGCATATCCACAAGCTCCTGAAGACTTCATTGAACAGATAAATGTCCAGTACTTCATCGATGGAGTAAAAGATACAGACCTGAAACAAGCACTGAGAATGAGTAGGCATAACACCTTAGCTGACACCGTTGTCCATGCATTTGAATATGAAGCTGCCAAAAATGCCTCTTTAAATCGAAGAAGCAAGATCAGGGAAGTGAAAATGGCAGAGGATCGCCCAAACTCAGACGCAGATAATATGTTCCTAAAACTGGAGGCGCTGTTTCAGGAATTCTGCGCGAAGTTAGACCAAAAACCAAGAGCCAGAAAACGGATCAAATGCTACAACTGCGGCCGAGAAGGACATATCAGCAAAAACTGTAGGCGACATTCCCGCTCAGAAGATCGTGAAGCGGAGGAAGAAGGTGGTTCCAGACATCATCAGGAAAATGCCACCTCGCCAGTGTAAGGGGGCGAATGCTGGCGACTACCGATTCTTGAGCCCCCAAAGTAAGGGTGTTCTCCATCAAGAGGAATTGTGAAAGTCTCGTTGCCCAAGGCACCCTCAACGGCAAGAAAGGTGATTCGACCATCGACACAGGGGCATCAAGATCAGTGGTTCGCCCCAACAAGGTTTTTAAGGACTCTAGTCAGATGCGCAAAGAAGGAGCCTGTATCAAATAGAGCACATTTATCAATAGAGCTTCTGGTGAAGTTTGAAAAGAGCTGGAATCACTTAGGCCAGCAAGCAAAGAAGAAAGCAAAATTGACTTTGTGCAGAAAGAGGCTGGTGTTTTTGTGCAAGATAAAATTACTGGACGAACTAGTTTGGTACATCATCGCATCAACACAGGAAGTGCTACACCCATTCGCCAACCACCACGAAGACTCCCTTTCGCAAAGTAACAGCAAGTTTACACTATGCTTAAGGAAATGCTGAAGGACAACATCATAGAAGAATCTAATAGTCCACGGGCATCGCCGGTCGTACTAGTTACGAAAAAGGATGGTTCTACCAGATTTTGTGTGGATTATAGCAGTTTGAATGACGTTACGAAGAAAGACAGCTATCCATTACCCCGGATTGACGATACCCTTAACACCCTTAACAACCCTGGACTTGAAAAGTGGATATTGACACTTCTATAACTATATCTATTCTTTATATTATAAATTACGAATCGCTTTAAGTAACCGTTTAGTTTCTGTGTGCAAACAGGCCTATGGCCTAGGCACATGTACTATATTTTTTTTTCCATTAATTTAGAATAATTTGCTCTGTATACAGTAATTGTATTATGATTTTGGAAAATAAATGAATCTTGAATCTTGGCAGGCGGAACTCAATAAAGAGGATAAAGAGAAGACCGCATTTACTGCAGAAAATGGCCTATATCAATTCAACGTCATGCCGTTTGGATTATGCAATGCACCTGCCACTTTTGAAAGACTGATGGAGTTAGTTTTGCGAGGACTAATTTGGGAAACGTGCATGGTATATCTGGATGATGTCATGGTGATTGGCAAAGATTTCAACAAACACCTGTCGAATTTGAAGAAAGTTTTTGCCAGGATTCGAAGTGCCAATCTGCAACTAAATCCCAAAAAGTGTGTTCTATTCCAGGAAAAGTTAAACTTCCTCGGCTATGTCGTCTCATCAAAAGGAATAGAGACAAATCCAGATAAACTCCAAGCTGTGCGAGATTGGCCCAGACCAAAGAATAAACATGAAGTTAGAAGCTGCAGTGCAGTTACTACCGCCGGTTTTTCAAGGATTTTGGGAAGATTGCGAAGCCTTTACATGAACTAACTGAAAAGAACGCTCGTTTTGATTGGATACCTGAATGTCAACGGTCTTTCGTGGAGCTGAAAAATAAATTAACTAGTGCTTCAGTTCTGGCGTATCCAGGTCTATTTATGTTAGACACCGATGCTTCGCAAAGTGAAATAGGGGCTGTTCTTTCGCAAATTCAAAACGGCGAAGAAGTAGTAATTGGATACTTCAGTAAGTCCATTGGAGAGAGAAGAATTATTGTGTTACCCGAAAGGAGCTTCTGGCAGTACTAAGTTCTATTAAACAACCACAGCTTCCTCTATGGCCGGAAGTTCCTAGTTAGAACCGACCAGTCTGCATTGCAATGGCTGCTCAATTTTCAAAATCCGGAAGGTCAAATAGCGCGTTGGTTAGAGACATTACAAAGTTATGACTTCCATATCAAACATCGCAACGGAAGGAGTCATGCCAACGCCGACAGCCTATCACGAAGACCATGTATTGACAGCTCAAGCAAATTCTGCCAAAGGCAAGAGGAAAAGGAGGCAACCAAAAATTCTGGAGTCGTTCAATAAATAAGGCTTAAGAATTCCGACAACGACGCTAATACTGATGAGGACATTACGAGAGAAGACTTCGAAGCACAACAAAATACATATAAGGAATTGAAAATGGTGCGTGGCTGGCTACAAGATGGACGACGACCTGGATGGCAAGAAATTTCCAGTTTCGGTCAAACGGTGAAGGGATACTGGCTGCCATGGGACTCGTTGCGAGATGACTTGATCACTCGTAAATGGGAGAGTCCAGATGGAAAAAACTTAGTATATCAGACCGTTGTTCCACGGACCATGGTGGACAGAGTGCTTCAAGAACTGCACAGTAGTAAGAGTGGCGGACACTCTAAAGTCAATAGGACCTTGGCTCGAGTAAGAGATATGTACTATTGGATCAATTGTCGTAGGGATGTTGAAGAGTGGTGCTAGAGATGCGATCTCTGTGCTTCTAAGAAAGGACCCAAGACGCGATCCCGTCGAGAAATGAAGCAGTACTTGTCCGGTTTCCCTTGGGAGAGAATTGCCGTGGATATTGCAGGTCCTTTTCCTACAATGGAGTCAGGGCCAGAAGTAGTTCTCATACCCAATCAGGAAGCAGTTACTGTTGCGGAATCATTGCTGGAAAACGTCATATCCAGACATGGGGTACCGATGGAAGTTCATATTGATCAGGGAAGGAATTTTGAGTCCGAGGTATGGAAACAACTGACGAGGTTACCGAGAGTAAGAAAAACGAGGACTTCACCCACAGTTGGACGGAATGGTCGAGATGCACAATCGGACCATCAATCAATACCTCTCGATGTTTGTAGATGATCACCAGCAAGACTGGGATAAACTAGGGCCTCTTTTCCTTCTGGCTTATAGAAGCTCTCAGCATGAGTCCACCGGGAATACCATCTATGCTGTAGACTGGAAGAGAAATGAAGCTTCCAGTAGATTTAATGTTTGGCAGGCCTCCAGTCGATGAAGACGAGGCTGTACTTCCAGTTTACTTGGCTGATCTCCAGGACAGACTTCGAGTGGTACACGATTTCGCCAGAAATAAGCTACGTCTGACCAGTGACAGGATGAAGATGAGACTCGACCAACGGCAGTCACCGAACACCTTTAATGAAGGCGATGCTGTCTGGTTGTATCAGCCACAGCGAAGAGAGGGACCATACAAGGTCATTGAGAAAAGCAATGACTTGGTATACAGGATACAACTTACACCCAAAGCTAAGCTCAAGGTCAGTCATATGGAGAGGCTGGCTCCATACAAGGGCAAGAGCGCACTTGGATGCGATTGGGATAAGCTGTTCGGGGCGAACAGTTTTGAGGAAGGGGGCAGTGTTATGAACCCGCCACTCGTACTTTTTGATTGCCCCCTGTAACTACAGTTAAAGAAGCCAATTTTTTTTTAAGATGAACTGAATCACGAAAATTCGAGCGTGTTAGAGAAGGACGCACATAACTAAAAGCCCCGGTGCGCACCGCGTAAGGATCAGTTCTGGAACAGTCAGGAACTAAATAACCACTAATTCGTTAAAGTTCGAAAAAATAGTCTCACTTATTTGCGAACCAGTAAAAGTAACAATACGATTCTTACCTTACTGTTATTATAAGCACTCAAATTAGCCAATGAGGAAAGAGGTTCCCCAGGACTTTGCGGTAAAGTGCAACAGTTGACAGGAAGACCAGCTATTGGAATTCCATGCTTAATACTATTTATCTTTTGTTGGTGTAGTTCGTGGAGCTTTCTTGATCTTCGACGTGATGCAGCTGAAAATAGAGAAAAATATATTTTCATATGCTTGAGTTTATTGACTTACTGTTAAATGTTCATTCAAAAATTATTCAGACTACCATAAACAATGCTTGTATTTATTTTAACTTCAAATCTAACTGTAGTTGTATAATAATAATTATTGTAAGTCCGTTAATAAGCTGTTCCGACTACTAATAGAAAGAAAGTATAATGATTCAATTTTTTCAACTGTACTTTTGATTTACCGTGCTTTGAATGTATAAGTTGATGAGCAATGATCTTTCTGTTAACAAAATGAAACGATTAAAATTGCTAAAAACACTAGTATAGGTGAAGGAATTGCTATATTCTGTCAAATATATAGAAATGGGTCTTTACACTCACCAATAAAAACTATCACAGCTACAACAATTGTTCCACAAATGGCTGCGCTGGCCGCTATAGTAATTTTGTCCATATTTGAAGAGGCCGACGAAACGGTTCTTACTTCGCGACATTGCGAATACGGGACGTTTTCAGGTGTCACGTTGAGTTCTTCTAATGATACTACGCAAACAATGATGCACTCCTGAAAAAAATTGAAATCGTTAATGAATTGCTGCCTTTCAAGTCCTATGTTTTCAAAGCAGGATTAATCATAGAAACCACAGGCTAAAATAAATGACTACCTATATCCTTACGAATGATTTATAGCTCGTGAATATAAGTTCAAGTAAAATAAAGAATAGACTTCGTCAATGGGTTTATATTTCCTTATTGGGTTTTAAGTACTTTTACTTGTAGTTATTCGCTTTTGATAAATATGCTCATTTGTTTTCACATATTAAATCTATAATAGATTTTCGTACTTACGTTGTGAAAAATAAATTGGAAACTCTATGCAAGTTCATGAAATTGAAATAAAGTTCTCTGATAGCGTGCAGTTGTAAATTTTATTTTATAAAATATGCATTTTACTGAATACAATACGGATATAGCTTGAATGCAAAGTGAAGAAGAAATTTCAATGCAGGACGTGCTTTCTTTCGTGAGCTCGCACATACTCCCTTAAATCTTTAAATTTAAATTCTTTCACGGAAACGACCGTCTGAAATTCTTTAAAGTATAATGGCCGTAAGTGGTTTTTATTTATGTAGGTCTGGGTTAAATTACAGTGCTTTTACATTATTTAATTCAATAATGAGGTGTTCACCGGTCAAGCCGGTACACGGCGTTTTGGGTATTTAGTTAACAGTTTGTTTTTTATTTATAAGGTGTTGGCAAACTAATGAGCGATAATGTTGTAATGATGTTATTCTACCTGCTCCTGTTTCATTCATTATTAATCGTACCATTCATCATTTGTTTTTGGTAAGTTTTGTACAATTTTTGTTTTGGAGTAGGAAGCTGTTTGTTGGACAAGAAAAATAGAAAACATAAAACATAATTCAAAAATCGAGAATGCCCAGGGCCTGACAAAATAACAAATGGAATGTTGGAATCCGAAGGAAGGAGAAAACCTGATGAATGCATAAGCAGCATAACTATCCCAATGATGGAAAAGCAATCTGAGACAATTATCTTGGAATATCGCTACTCAACAGCAAACTAGAGGGCTCGATTTTCGTTTATATTTGAAGTACCAGTTTAGTACCAACTGAGGTACCAATGCTTTCCGTTGGCTTTTTTTTTTGGAAGGAAGCCATCTTCCTCAAGTGTGCATACCGTTCTCGTGGAAAAGTACCTTATCGGCCATCAGGCACTATCTTAACGAAATAAAGTTGCGTAAGGCAATAATACATTAATTACCAAAAAATTTATTATCGAAAGTGTGATTACCGTTTTATTTGAGTTTGAATTTCGAACCCTCTCGTAGTTAGTGAGTCCTTTTCAATTTTTTTCAAAGTAATGGTTTTTCATGGAATGCCTCTACTACTTAGGGTTTTCCAAGCTGTTTTTCCGAGGAGCTGTTTTTCCGAGGAGCCGTTTTTCCGAGGAGCCGTTTTTCCGACGAGCCGTTTTTTCAAGGAGCCGTTTTTCCGGGGTGCCGTTTCTCTCAACGAATCCATTTCCAAAAGGCCACATTTTTGAAAGAACACCATTTTCGTGGAGCCTGGCATGGAGCTTTCGAAGGGATTCCTAGAGCCCCTCACGAGTGGACAAATGTACCCCTACATTTGACGAAGAAAACTGAACTTCCAGCCTGGATTCCAGGCTCGAATCTGCAACTTCTACTTGCAGCTTTTCTCGTTCCCTCGTCGAGTGGCTACCGTGATCTACCTTTTTGTTGCAAAGGAGGCTTGTATAGAGTTTCATTTATAACTTTCATTGCCTTTTTCATGAAATCTGCTTTATGATCAATTATCAATAGTAATATAACTAGTGCAATGGAAATTATTGATAATTTTTGGGAAATTTGCCCGAATGCATTTTTAGTTGAAAAAGAGCACGAGTGCACGTGCTTTTTTCAGTTAAAAACGCATGAGTGCAAATTTGTCGAAAATTATAAATATATTTCCATTGCACGAGTTGTATTTAATGAGAGAATTTCATAAATCAAAAATTTAAATTTTTTGTCAAAAAATGTCAAAACACCAGTTTTCGCACCAGTTAGTATGCAATTATCTGATAATTTGCACTAGTGCAAATTATCGCGTAATTACAATCTGATTGGTTCAAATCAACAATCAAAACATGTCAATTTATTGTTGGAATACCAGTTTTGACAGATGTATGAAATTCTCATCTATGATTATTTTCACTGACATTACATTTGAATATACTTAAGATTCAACGTATGCGCAATCTTCATAATTTGAGGTTACGCAAGGGGTAAACTGCTCAGCAACATCTATACACCAGATATCCCCCTACTGAAGTTCATCCTCGGACAACCTCAAGAGAGCCCTGGACATCCCAGGACATCCTCGGACATCCCTGGACATCCTCAATCAACCCAGGACATTCTCGGACATCCCTAGATATCCTCGGAAATATCTGGATATCTTTGGACATCCCTTCTTCCTGTACATATCTCTGCTCAATTTTTGTTTATTCCCGGCTCTAGAATTTTTCGAAAAAGAAAATTGAAGAGCTGGAATAGAAAAGACATGAATGTCCTTTTATTTAGCATTTTTTTTCTAAATTTTTCTACATTTCTTCAAGTTAAATTTGATTTTTTCCGTCTCAATTTTTGTCTATTCCTGACTCTCGGATTTGCGTTTTCTTCTAAGTTTTTCTAAATAGAGGAAATTTAGGAGCTTGCAATAGAAACGAAATATTTTGTGAAGGTACCAATTTTTTCTCAATTTCTCTTGAATTTCTTGTTCATTTTTGAATTTTCCACGCTCAGTTCCAAGTTATTCCCGGCTTTTGAATTTATCGAAAAAGGAAATTCAAGAGTCTGGAATAGAAAAAATATGAATCTACTAGTTTTTTTCTCAATTTTCTACATTTCTCCTCTGTTAATGCTCAGTTTTTTCGTCTCAATTTGTGTCTATTTTCAGCTCTTGAATGTTTATATATTTCTCTAAATATACGTACACATACGCTGATAAAGAAAGAAGAGTATACCTTGCAACTGATGTTACTTTAATAAAAGAACAAAGGAAATACCTCTGTTACCTACGTAGATGCCAGGATTTTTTATTGGATATCCCCACATCTCCTGAGACATCCTCGGACATCCCTTTGATATCCCTCGAACATCCCCTGAAAATTCTGGAAATCCCGATATATCCCCGGACATCTACCGGAATCCTGGGACATCCCCGGAAATCCTGGGATATCCCTGGACATCCCCAAGCTTGTACACCAGACATGCCCAGAGGTTCACCCCTCCAGGTTATGTTATTAGGGGAACTCTTGGGCAATCTTACTGGTAATCAGAAGAAATCATAAGAAATCATTCACGATTTCCTCTGAAACCGCAATCTAGTGTACAAGAACTGACTTGCGGTTCACCTCTCGGGAAATCTGGTGTACATATTAGGGGAAATCGGGAGGAAATTCGAGAAAATCTAAGCCAATCAAGAAATAATAAGGAAATCAGAGGACATCAAGGGAAGCCTCAAGGAACTCAGGAGAAATCTTAAGGAAATCATGGTGTACAAATTACGGGAAATAAAGAGGAAATTTAAGAAAATCAGGAAATAATAAGGAAATCAGAAGAAAACAAGGAACATCTTATCTACTCAAGGAAAATCTTAAGGAAATCATGGATATCTTAAGGAAATCAGTCAATCTCTAGATCTAACGCATGTGCAATTTTCAAAAATCTTTATTATTTGAGGTTATATTATAAGGGGAACTCTTTGGGCAATCTTACTGGTGATCAAAAGAAATCAGAGCAAATTAAGAGAAATCATCCATGATTTTTCCTAAAACGTCAATCTCGTGTACAAAATTCGCAAAGGATCTGGTCTGTGTGTCTGGAGTACAAATTAGGAGAAATGAAGATCAAATCCCAGGAAATCTAAGATAATCAGGAAAAACCTAAGGAAATGAGAGGATATCAATGGAAATCTTAAGGAAATCAGTCAATCTCAAGATCTAACGCATGCGCAATTTCCAAAAATCTTTATAATTTGAGGTTATGTTATCAGGGGAACTCTTGGGCAATGTTACTGGTATTCAGAAAAAATCATGGGAAATCATTCAAGATTTCCTCTAAAACCGCAATCTGATGTACAAAAACTGACTTGCGGTCCATCCCTCCGGAAATCTGGTGTACAATTTAGGGGAAATCAGGAGGAAATTCGAGAAAATTCAAGCCAATCAGGAAATAATAAGGAAATCACAGGACATCAAGAGAAATCTTAAGGAACTCAGGAGAAATCTTAAGGAAATCATGGTGTACAAATTAGGGGAAATCACGAGGATACCCAAGGAAATGAGGAAGTACATAATAAGAAAATCAGAAGAAAACAAGGGAAATCTTAAGGAACTCAAGGGAAATCTTAAGGAGATCATGGATATCTTAAGGAAATCAGTCAATCTCTAGATCTAACGCATGTGCAGTTTTCAAAATTCTTTATAATTTGCGGTTATGTTATCAAGGGAACTCTTTGGGCAATCTCACTGATGATCAAAACAAATCAGGGGAAATTATGAGAAATCATCCATAAATTTTCCTAAAACCTCAATCTCGTGGCGAAATCAAGAGCAAATCCGAGAAAATCTAACGGAATCAAGGCAATCAGAGAATATCAATGGAAATGTTAAGGAAATCAGTTAATCTCTAGATCAATTTCTCAAGGGCAATCTCAAGGAAATCAGTGAATCTCTATATCTAACGCATGCGCAGTTTTCAATTTTTTTTTATAATTTGAGGTTATGTTATCAGGGGAACTCTTTTGGCAATCTAACTGGTGATCAAAAAAAATCAGAGGAAATTATGAGAAATTATCCATGATTTTTCCTAAAACCTCAATCTCGTGTACTAAAACTGCAACTGAAATCTGGTGTACAAATTAGGGGAAATCAAGAGCAAATCCGAGGAAGTCTAAGGCAATCGGGGAAATCATTAGGAAATCAGAGGATATCAGTGGAAATCTCAAGGAAATCAGTCGATCTCTAGATCAATCTCTCAAGGGAAATCTCAAGGAAATCAGTCAATCTCAAGATTTTCCAAAATCTTTATAATTTAAGGTTATGTTATCAGGGGAACTATTTGGCAACTTACTGGTAATCAGAAGAAATCATAAAAAAATCATTCATGATTTCCTCTAAAACCGCAATCTGGTGTACGAAAACTGACTTACGGTTTACTCCTCGGAAAATCTGCTGTACAAATTAGGAGGAATCAAGAGAAAACCCGAGATAATCTAAGCCAATCAGGAAATAATAGGAAAATCAGAAGACATCAAGGGAAATCTTAAGGAACTCAGGGGAAATCTTAAGGAAATCATGGTGTACAAATTAGGGGAAATCGAGAGGAAATCCGAGGAAATCTAAGGAGATCATAAAATAATAAGGAAATCAGGAAAAAAAAAGGGGAATCTTTAGGAACTCAAGGGAAATCTTAAGGTAAATATGGATATTCTAAGGAACGCATGTGCAGTTTTCAAAAATCTTTATAATTTGCGGTTATGGTATCAAGGGAACTCTTTGGGCAATCGTACTAGTGGTCAATAGAAATCAGAGGAAATTATGAGATATCATCCATAATTTTTCCTAAAACCTCCATCTAGTGTACTAAATCCGCAAGGGAAATCTGGTGTACAAACTAGGGAAATCAAGAGCAAATCCGAGGAAATCTTAGGCATCAGAAAAATCACAAGGAAATCAGAGGATATCAATGGAAATCTTAAAGAAATCACTCAATCTCTAGATCATTCTCAAGGAAAATCTCAAGGAAATCAGTCAATCTCAAGATCCAACCCTTTCGCAAATTTCAAAAATCTTCATAATTTTAAGGTTATGCGAGGGGTAAACCGCTAAGCAAAATCAGACTGAAGTACATCCCCGTCCAACCTCAAGACAGCCCTGGACATCCTCAATCAACCCTGGACATTCTCGGACATCCCTAGATATTCTCGGAAATCCCTAGATATCCTTGGACATCCCTTCTTCCTGTACATATGTCTGATATATTTTTGAGCACTATTGGCCTTTAGGAAGGCTGAGTCTTAGATAGTTTGGCGACATAAGGTCTGTTCGCACAGAAATCACAAACCAGTCAGAGTGAATTTCATATTGGTTGAAACTAGTTTTCTGACTGTGTCTGACTTTTCAACCAATGAAATTTGCTCTCACTGGTTTGCGATTGTTGTGCGAACAGGCCTATTGTTCTTTGTAGTTGTCCAAAGCTGACCCATATGTCATTTATGGGTACCGAGGGGTAAGCCGCAAAGGAAATCTGGTGTACAAATTAGGGAAAATCGAGAGGAAATCCAAAGAAATTTAAGGCATTCAGGGCAAATATTAAGGAAATCAGTCTATCTCTAGATCTAACGCATGCGCAATTTCCAAAAATCTTTATAATTTGAGGTTATGTTATCAGGGGAACTCTTGGACATTGTTACTGGTAATGAGAAAAAGACATGGGAAATCATTCATGATTTCCTCTAAAAGCGCAATCTGGTGTTGAAAACTGACTTGCGGTTGACCCCTCGGGTAATCTGGTGTACAAATTAGGAGGAATTAGGGCTGGAAGTTTGTCACGGATAGAGATCGTTATCCCTATCGCTTTGGCTTTTGCTGTTTTCTTTTCTCCTTTAGAAATCAATAGAGAGGAGACGTCAATAGAGATAGAGAAAATATCTCTATTCGTTCCTGAGTCCCAGCTCAGGAGGAAATCCGAGAAAATCTAAGCCAATCAGGAAATAATAAGAAAATCAGAGGACATCAAGGAAAATCTTAAGGAACTCAGGGGAAATCTTGAGGAAATCATGGTGTAAAAATTAGGGGAAATCAAGAGGAAATCCGAAGAAATCTAAGGAAATCAGGAAATAATAAGAAAATCAGAAAAAAACAAAGGAAATCTTAAGGACGTCAGTCAATCTCTAGATCCAACGCATGCCTATTTTTGAGGTTAAGTTATCACGGGCAACGGGCAACTTTCCTGGTAATCAGAAGAAATCAGGGGAAATCATAGGAACTCATCCATGATTTCCCCTAAAACTGCAAAATATGGCGGAAACCTGTGCATGGTACTTTTGTTCTTCTCGCCATTTGTGTTTGGTTGCTCTTCAAAACTGTTGGAAATGAATACGATGTCGTCAGCGAGCCGTAGGTAATTTAGTCGTTTGCAATTTATATAGTTATACCATGTTTAGAACCAGTATAGTTTCTTAAATACGTCCTCCATTGGGTGCGTGAAAAGTTTCAGTGATATCACATGTGCCTGCCTGATTCCTCTCCTAACTAGAATGGGATCAGAATGGAATTAGTGCCCTCTTTCCGCTGTACTGGTGATGGGGCATTTCTATAGATTTTTCTTAGAAAAAGAAGACCCATCCGAACACTATCTATGAGTAAAAATCTTCGAAAGGATCTCCAACGAGCTGTTCAGTGCCCAATAAGTATTGCACCAAGTGGGTTCTAGGTTTTTTTAGGGTACCGCTCCCATGAAATTTGGGAGTCAACTTATTGCAAATCAGTACCTAGACCAGGTTAACTGGTTTTTGTTTCCGCTGTGGAACTTACACTGAACTGACGAGTTGCAAGAAGACCGAATCGCGTCTGTATTTCGATTCATAGCAAAAACTGAATCCTGGTTTGCCATGACTTGACTCTTAAATTTCATAGTAGCGGACACCAAGAACCGAGCTGGTGCATTGTTTGCCACCATACTCAACTAGAAATTGCGTTGATCATTCAATAATTATTGATCTGGTGAACTGGTTCTGGTTCTGCACTGAAGAGATACAAGAAGACCGGAACGCGTTGGTAGATGGATCCGCATAAAACTGCGGACCCTATGCATGATAGAAGTAGAAGCGAATACCTTCAACTCAACAGAGTGTGATGGGTAAGACAGCAAAGAATAAAAACATATTAAACAACCATAGCAGAAAAATAATTCAGATGCTAGAGCATCTGGATATCAACCTCCAACGAGGCATGAAAAGTTCAAACAGACAGTAGAGCCCAATTATATATGGACATCCACCAAGAATCAATTATTCTCTATCATGGATGTCATTCCCATGCATCAACACCCCATTAAATTCAGCAATAAATCCTAATTGATTAAACCACTATCAATGAGAATATAAATATTACTTACTTGTGACGGCACATTCTTGATTTTGAACTCCCTCTCGCTAGCCTCCAATGGCGGCCCCTGTTTGAAACTCTTGTCACCGAACAACCTGTAGACCACTCTGAATCCCAATATATTAGCCGTTTCCGACCCCCATTGAATAATCACCGAATTATCTTGCCTAAACGCGTTTTTCACTATAACTTCTTTGCTGTCATCTGATTTACTTCTCGAAGGATACCCTGCCATCACCAATGGCGGCTTTTGGGTAGCCTTCCACGATGGAGACGCTTTGGGTTTGGTTTTGGTAGTTGTCGATTTGGTTGTTGTAGATGTGGATCCTTTCGTAGTAGCCGTTGAAGAATAGGAAACTGTAGTCGACACAGTTGATTTGCTAGTGCTAGGCTCTTTTGTTGTTGTAGTAGTTGTTGATGTAGTTGTAGATGAAGTAGTGGAAGATGATGATGTTGAAGGTTGTGGTACAATTAAATCATCTAAATCTGCACTTACAACTGTAGCAATTCCAATAGGTTGTTTTGGTTTTGCTTCTTCTTCAACAGCTTTTTTAGGGCACGAAAGATCTTCCAACTGAATGCTGTAAAAGCTTCTGTCTCTAAATTTGGGCGGGCTTCCGCAAAATTGTGGATTTCTTTCTCTCGAAGTTACTTGAAGGTCCCCGTTTTTGATCCACTCAATTATCCAAGATAATTTACAATCGCAATGCAGGAATCTTCCTCCTAAACTCAAACCTCGTAAAGTATTATTAAGATGAGCTAAAGCTTCATAAGGGATTGTTGTTAAAGGATTACCATCTAAAGCCAAAAGCGTTATACTTGGATTGCCTTTAAAAACATCATTGGGAAGTTCTGTTAATAAATTGAATCCAATGTCAAGCACACGGAGTTCTTTTAATGAACTCATGGCTGCTGTTGGAAAATCTGGCAGTAAGTTATTGAGCAAACTTAATGAACTTAAAGTTTTACTAACACCGTGAAATGCGTTTGCTTTTAAATCTTGCAAAACATTACGTTCAAGGTTAAGAGCTGATAAAGCATCTAATCCTGCAAAAGTCTCATCACCATCAGGTCCTGGAAGTTCTCTAAGGCTATTTTGTGATAAATCTAGGAAAGCTAGAGCTTTCATTCCTTTGATTGTTTTAGGCACTGAGGTTTGTCTTGTGCCTTTTAGATTGAGGTTTTTCAAGCTTTTATCTAGACCTTGTAGAGCACCATCTTCTAGAGTCACATTGTTATCGGATAGTTTTAGTGTAGATAGTTTCATTAGAGTTTCAAACGCACCTGTAGGTACATTGGTTATCCTGTTATGAGATAAATCTAATAGTTGTAGGTTTTCTAAAGGTCTTAAACTTTCCACTGGCACCACACTCAATTCATTATCTTGCAAATTCAAATTTTTCAAATGTTGTTCTTGACCACTAAACGCGGCACTTTCCACAGTTCTAATTTTGCACCCCGACAATTGTATATTATGAATTTTTAAATTTATTATAATATTGTCTTGTAGAACACCCACTGTTGAGTTATTTACATAGAGTAAATCTAAAGGGGTTTGAGTAGCGTATTTGTTCAAAGCTGAGAGCAATTTTGGCCAGTTGACCATGTCGCACTGCACCGAAAGTTCGTGTCCTAAATTGTACGAACATATACAGGACGATTGAAGTTCTTGAACGTCGCGTTGCCAAGGACATTGTGCCGATACTATTGAGACTAGGATAGTCCATATCAGCACCAAGGAATTCTTCATTGCCTGAAACAAAGAAGCGCTTGTTAATTTATTAAGTAAATTGTATAACGCCATGTGGTCTGTGAATGTCTAACAGTGCCTATACAAACTGGAGCAGTTATACAGTTATTAATGGCATATTATAACAATTTTATTATATTAGATTATGTGACGCTATTAAAGTTTCTAACAGCTGACCGCAGTTGAACCACTTTTGGGATTGGCACATCATTTGTTGTATCGGTAAAAATGATTCTTTTTAAACGTCTGATGCAGGGAGATGCAATGGTGCATTAAGTTGATAATGATGGTAAAGTGCAATAGTGCAATAATATATGTGATAGCAATTCTATATTCACCAAAATCATCAAGAAATAATTATTTTTTTTATAAATGCATCCAATTCCTAACCCGCTTTCATTATTATTGCACTAGTTTTACTCATGTGAAACACATGTTGTCAACCACTTTCAATAAATTGCCATTGTCTACAGATTTTCTGTGAGAAAAACCTAAATCCTGACGGATGTTTAAATAGAACAATAGCTGTTTTTATTTGGTAAAAAAGTACTAAACAACTTGCAACAGTCGCGAACCAAATTTCACGTTTCAAACAAAGCCAACGTTATCGATAACGAAATAGTAAATTTTAATCTCGTGAGAGCCGATGTGGCAATTTCTAATTGAGAATCTAATTAAAAGTTGGCGTAATATTTGGGATATCTGATTTTAGTTGTATATTGATCAATGTGTAATTTAATTTTCAAATTTAGGTTATATTTAGGAAAATCATTAGCATGCTGGATAGGCAAAAGACAAATACCTAAAATGTTGACATAATTAAATCAACCATATCATCACCACAGGATGATCTATTATTTCGATTATGAAACACTTAAAACGATAGTAATTTCGCTTTCAATAAATTCTTAATACTTCCCATTGTATTTTCTTTCGCAATGCCAGCATGATTGAAGGACGAAGAGAACATTTTAGTAGGCGGAAAGTCATAAATACGATTTTTTTAATGAGTACCTGGTTGGTTGGATAGGATATTGAGTGAGAATTATTGAAAAGTTGACTTCCAATTACAGTAAATCAGTTTTACAGCTGTATATGAAATTGTGATAATGAACGGTTTGCAATAATTTTTTTTTTAATGGTGATCTGAAATGTTTCTTTGTTTGGCAAGAAGAAAAACTGACCCATCATTGACTTGGAATTCTCACCTTTTCAGTTCCTAGAAAGGGTTTTTGAATCGGGAGCCAATAGAATCTGAGCCCATACTCTATATCTCACAGGATTTAAACCTTTTGTTACGAGACTGCATTGAACCACCAAAAGCCTGATGGGAAGTTCACAAAAAATGAAGAAGAAACTTCAAGTTCACTTCTTCAGACCCATTTTCCAGACCGCTGATAGCAGAAACCCATCAAGCCATTCCGCTTTCCGTAATGGAACGAAAAAGGAGAACTGGGAACTTGCTAAAAAAGTGGTAACCTACGATGGTATAAAATGGACCAAATGGAATAATGTCAAGAGGCGGTAAACCTGATACGAGTCTGAAGCGACATGGGAAAGCTAAGAGAGAAAAGAGTGAAGGGAGGGATATGACTCTTGAAGGTAGCCTAAAGAAGAAATGGAAGCTCCGACTAGCCCACAAAATTCCGGTGAGTGGGGTCTGATTGTCGCTTTTAGACTCGTAACAAAATTGGCGCCCAACGTGGGGCCACGTGTTTTCAACCCTGCAGTAAGTCGGTTTCTGAACTAAAGATATTTCAAAACAGCCTAGAGCATACAAAGAATCAAATCAATACCAAAGAAACGAAGGTATAAGGGCGATCATCTTTAACTGAAATCCCCTAGGATTAGAGTACTCGTGATCGCGCCGCAGTCTGAAAAGAACGGAAAATTCTAAATATCAAAAATCAGCTGTGAAGGGAAAATAAGAGAAAATCACTGAATATTAAATTGTATGGTTTTGTTTATCTTGCTTTATTCGCTCCGTTCAGGATTTAACAATGATGTTTATTAAAAAACAAAGGTATTTTGGCATAATTATCCATACCCCAATATGTCCAGTATTAAAAATAACCTTAGATTTAAAAGAATTTCAATACACAATCAAAAACGTTTGCTTACCCTCGAAATAGGCCTATTTTCCCGGTTTACAGTACCTTTCTATTTTAGGTTAAGCCGAAAACTCATAATAGGAACATACAAGAATGAATAATAAGGTAATAACTCCTATAATTAAAAACAAAACACCAAAGTTCTTAATGGTAATTTATGCCTTTATCTGGCTATACATTGTTCTGATTGTTGCTCCCTCGGTATGCTGAACGATAATAATGGTGGTAAAAATTACGGGGTGATTATTTCTTTTGACCACAGAGCTTCACTACCAATCAGCTGGAGTGTAACCATATGATTTCAGGACCCAGGACAACACACACATGTGACCCAACTAACTTACAGGGCGTTCCTTGACTGTTTGCTGTTTGCAAGTCTTACAGCGACCCAGGAGTCTACGTGACGTGGAGTGAGGATCGAAGGACCTCCCCAAATCTTCTTGGTGGTTAGGGATGTTCTGGCAACTAGTGGGGGCAGTAAGGCTGGAGTGGTTCAGAAGGTACCTCTAGAGTACTGGGGGTTGATGGGCAACCGGCACTCGTGGGGTATCAGAGGAGAAACAAGGCCTCCAATAAGGGGAAGGATGAAAATGAAGGGAGACTAAAGGAAAAGGTCTAAAAAAAAGAACAAGATTTTTGCACATGGTAAGCAAACAGCAAATATAGTAAAGAAGTATGCCAAAAGCACTTTAACGTTGTAGAACTTTTCCAAAAGAAAAATAGCAGAAAATGAAAAGTTACCAAAATACTTTGACCTTTTCCAGACACAGCACACGAAGAAAAACGGCCAAATTTGAGACTTTAACCCGTCAAAACTCGCACAACCAAATCTGCCTATATAGTGGCACTGTGGTGCTATAATCTCAGCAACCCACAAATGGGGCTCAAACTTACTTTTGGTTTTAAATCAGCAAAAACGCTTAGAGGAAGCTCTTAACGTGCTCTTGAAAGCTGCCCTCTTTTCTACCAAAAAAAAACAATTTTTAATTCTTTCCCTTCTAGAAAACGTGGGCGTACTAATTCGAAGCTTGAGGAATTTTCACAGAATCTATTGGGGGACACTGGTACTGCTACTGACTGAATGTCTGGTACCTACCAAATATCGGAAACTGTAATGGTACCAAGGAAGGTAGCGCGGAAATCTGTAATAGACGGTACCATAAAGCAAGTATAGGAAACTGTAATAATATATAATATGAAATGTTTAAATAAATAACCACAATTATTGTTAGATGGTACTGAAAAATAGCGAAATGAAAACTGTATAGGTGAAAAGCTTACTAAAAAAAAAGGAAAAAGGTCCAAGGAGTTTTTGTTTTTTTCCCCTTGGCGGAGTGTCAAAGCAACAAGAGAACTAACGAGTTGGATACATTAAATCTGGTCATAGTGAATGGTTTCAATCAGGGAAAGAGGGTTGGCATCATCCTCGTCCGGAGAATGTGACTTGAGATCTTTGGCGTGCCATATGCCAATCTTCCGTCCGTCTTGGCGTGCAAGCTCGTAGGTCCAGGCTGACTCAACACGGATTATGGTGAATGGGCCTGTAAATTTAGGAGCAAGTTTGGAAGTAAAGTTTTTGGTTGCGTCCGACAAAACCACATTCCGCTTCCAGACTTTCTGATGAAGTTGAAACTTTTCATCGCGTTTTCGCAGGTTATAAGCGCGTTTAGATGTTTGGTGAGCCTGTTGGAGATGTTTTTGGACATCAGCGAAAACGGTTTCAAGAGCTTTGGATCGCACCCGGGAATCCAGCCCTTGAGGAAAGTCAAAGAGACCAGCGCCGCGGTGGGGTCGCCTGTCGCCTCTAACATGATGAAGTTGGGTGTTAAACCGGTAACCTCGTGTCTGGCAGACCGGATAGCACAAGCAACCTTGGGAAGGAATTTATCCCACTGGCGATGATCGTCCGCCACATACGCTGAGAGAGTGGTTTTAAGGACACGGTGCACACGTTCCATGGTAGTAAATTTGACTTCTATGCCGGGCCTGACCAAGAGGTCCTGAAATACCTTGTTGCGGAACTGAACTCCATTATCCGCGATGAGCTTCACTGAAGCTCCATAGACCAAAATGACATGGTCTTCCAACAATTTCGCTACGACTGGGGCTGTGGCTGTTTGCAAAGGGAAAAACAAGACATACTTGCTAAACAAGTCGCACACGGAAAATAGGTAAACATAGCCCGACGAAGATCTAGAAAGTGGCCCAACGAGTTCAACACTGATATTTTGCCAGGGTCTAGACGTGGTTGGAATAACGCTAAGCATTTTGCCAGCAGGGGCTTGCTGCTGAGGTTTAGTCTGGAGACACATGTTGCAATGGCGGTAAAATTTCTGAGAAATTCTGGAGATGGTCTTGAACACTCCCAGATGGCCGCACTTGGGGGGGTCATGGTTTGCCTTGATAGCGGACCTGGACCGGTATTCTCGTTCTCGAAAACGCTCACCGCTTTTCAGTCGCTCGGCACTTTCAATGTAAATTTGCATTTAAAGTGCCGAGCGACTAGAAAGCGGTGAGCGTTTTTGAGAACCAGAATACCGGCCCTGGACCGGTATTCTCATCCTCGAAGACGCTCGCCACTTTTTATTCGCTCGGCACTTTTGATGTAAATTGATATTAAAAGTGCCGAGCGACTAGAAAGCGGTGAGCGTTTTCGAGGACAAGAATACCGACCCTGCCCTTCTTAGGAATAACGCGAAGCCAATATTGAGAGGGGTCGGAAAGTTCGGGGTAGCGAACACGGGGTTTCTTGTACAGAATATTATTTTAGAGCCACCGCAAAGGGTATTTGGTGGGCTGTTGTTGTTTTTTGCACATACCAACATACCACGAATCTGGAGACAGTCCGATGAAGTGTCAGAATCGAGAACTTGGATAACATCTACGATAGGAA